AAAGAGATAAAGGCAAGAACTACAAATTGCATCAGGAAGGAGTTATGGACTCCAGTAGGTGGTACAGATCCAGCAGGCCTCCAAGCAGGTGGGGTAATGTAGGCAGACACAAATTAAGAAGAACCTGAAGCCAGGCTATAGATCAGGGCTCAGAAAACTTTTCCACATCAAGTGTCAAGTCACAATCATAAGACAGCCAGCGCGCAAGTGAATGGAAGTGAGCCAAAGACCTCAGATTAGACCCAATTCCTGCATCTTCATCCCTATTCCTGCTCCTTTAGATCTCAGATCAGCCCCAATTCCTGCACCTTCACACCTCAGATCACCCCCAATTCCTGCACCTTCACCCCTCAGATCACCCCCAATTCCTGCACCTTCACCCCTCAGATCACCCCCAATTCCTGCACCTTCACCCCTCAGATCACCCCCAATTCCTGCACCTTCACCCCTCAGATCACCCCCAATTCCTGCACCTTCACCCCTCAGATCACCCCCAATTCCTGCACCTTCACCCCTCAGATCACCCCCAATTCCTGCACCTTCACCCCTCAGATCACCCCCAATTCCTGCACCTTCACCCCTCAGATCACCCCCAATTCCTGCACCTTCACCCCTCAGATCACCCCCAATTCCTGCACCTTCACCCCTCAGATCACCCCCAATTCCTGCACCTTCACCCCTCAGATCACCCCCAATTCCTGCACCTTCACCCCTCAGATCACCCCCAATTCCTGCACCTTCACCCCTCAGATCACCCCCAATTCCTGCACCTTCACCCCTCAGATCACCCCCAATTCCTGCACCTTCACCCCTCAGATCACCCCCAATTCCTGCACCTTCACCCCTCAGATCACCCCCAATTCCTGCACCTTCACCCCTCAGATCACCCCCAATTCCTGCACCTTCACCCCTCAGATCACCCCCAATTCCTGCACCTTCACCCCTCAGATCACCCCCAATTCCTGCACCTTCACCCCTCAGATCACCCCCAATTCCTGCACCTTCACCCCTCAGATCACCCCCAATTCCTGCACCTTCACCCCTCAGATCACCCCCAATTCCTGCACCTTCACCCCTCAGATCACCCCCAATTCCTGCACCTTCACCCCTCAGATCACCCCCAATTCCTGCACCTTCACCCCTCAGATCACCCCCAATTCCTGCACCTTCACCCCTCAGATCACCCCCAATTCCTGCACCTTCACCCCTCAGATCACCCCCAATTCCTGCACCTTCACCCCTCAGATCACCCCCAATTCCTGCACCTTCACCCCTCAGATCACCCCCAATTCCTGCACCTTCACCCCTCAGATCACCCCCAATTCCTGCACCTTCACCCCTCAGATCACCCCCAATTCCTGCACCTTCACCCCTCAGATCACCCCCAATTCCTGCACCTTCACCCCTCAGATCACCCCCAATTCCTGCACCTTCACCCCTCAGATCACCCCCAATTCCTGCACCTTCACCCCTCAGATCACCCCCAATTCCTGCACCTTCACCCCTCAGATCACCCCCAATTCCTGCACCTTCACCCCTCAGATCACCCCCAATTCCTGCACCTTCACCCCTCAGATCACCCCCAATTCCTGCACCTTCACCCCTCAGATCACCCCCAATTCCTGCACCTTCACCCCTCAGATCAGACCCAATTCCTGCACCTTCACCCCTCAGATCAGCCCCCATTTCCTGTATCTACACATCTCAGATCAGACCCAATTCCTGCACCTTCATAACCTCAGATCAGACCCTATTCCTGCACCTTCACCCCTCAGATCAGACCCAATTCCTGCACCTTCATAACCTCAGATCAGACCCAATTCCTGCACCTTCACACCTCAGATCAGCCCCCACTTCCTATCTTAGAATGCCTTGTACACTTTATAGAGCCAGACCCAGGCTGTTTTTTTGCCCCATCATCTCATTGGGCAAGGCTGCCATTAACTTCCTTAACCATTGCTCATAATTTTGCATCATTTTGATCTGTAATATATGCATTTGTGGAGCATAGCTCAGACTCACATTGTTTTCAGAGGGACGTCCGGTTCATAAATTCCATTTAGAGTTTTGCGGATTTTTAATAAGGCCAAACCACAAGTGATCAAACTTTTCGGATGTTCCACCAGCTCTACCATTCAGCAAAAGTAACAGGGATTAGGACAAACCATAATAGTGCCAGGGGAGCTTGAGCAGTTGCAGCAACAGTTAAAAATCAAATAGAAATAAACATGCGAATAAAGAGTGGTTGTGTTATTGTTTATCCCAACCCCTGTTACCAGGGACATCTTGGTCTGCAATTATATATGAAGGAACACAGAGATAAAGACTTGTACAATAAAACAAAGGACATCATATATTGAATAATATCATTAAAGGTATTAACCCCACACAACTTACAGTTATCAGAATGCAATCATTTTAGATAGAATAGAAATGACATCATCACCATGTAGTTCCTGTAGGAAGAACCTTACATTATGCAAGCATTCCACTTACACTGCCACCTAGTGGCGGAACTACTAAGCACAATATAATATATGAGAATGGTTGTTGCACTTATGTCCACATCAACACCATGCTAACAAGTTTTTACTAAATTCCTGAATCTCTGATAAAGCTTGAAATTATGTTTTCATTTGTCAGATCTCAATATAGATGCAGCCTCGGTTTCCCCTGAAGAAAACCCTATTAGATGCCGTAGAAAGGGCTTTGAGTGTAAATCCTGCTGGCAGATGGTCACCTGTCAGGGACACTGGTTATCTAGTTATGCAGCAACGAGACACATGGGAGCAGATGTCGCTCAAGCAGAAATGTAGCATCCTGAGAATCAATCAGACACAATAAAACTGACCACAACACAGATTATCTCTCCCATGAAATGTCCAGAATAGTAGCACATTGCAGTATATGTGGTGCGGTCTGTAGGATCCAAACCTGAGCCAAGAGCACAGTGCATGGCACTTAGTGGAAGGGGTAACAGTCATACTGAACGCTGATCTAAACAGGAAATAACTGCAGCTCTGCAAACCATAAGCCATATATATTGTTGGAGAGAGAGAGAGAGGAAGGTAGAGAGAAAAATGGAGAGGAAAGAAAGAAAGAATGGGAGAGAAGAGAGAGAGGGGTAGTAGAGATGAAGAGAGTGATAAGGGCAGGAGAATCAAAGGGAGAAAAAGAGTGATTTGGGGCAGGAGAGTGAAAGGGAGAAGGAGTGAAAGAGAGTGTTGGGGGCAGGAGAGTGAAAGAGGCAGCACTGGCATATGTGAGTGGAAACAATAGGGCATGTTTTGCCAACCTGAACAATTTTTTTGTCTCCCATGAACCTTCATACACGGCTGTCTGGGGCTGACCTGTATTCCTCAGTTGTTAGTACTTCAGCCTTACAGCACTGAGGGCCCTGGTTGAAATCCAGGTTTGGCCAGGAAATTAGCTGTATATATTTTGCACGCTCCTCTGTGCTTGTGTGGCTTTCCTATCACACTCTAAAGACTGTAGGCTAATTGGCTCCTGTCTGAGTTGGCCATTGTATGTGTTCATATGAGATAGAGACCATAGACTGGGGAATTAATATGCAATCTAGGGGCCAGCAGGTTCTTTTCTAGGATTCAGCTCCATTGCCAGCAGCTAGAGAGAGAAAACCTCAGAAGTTAGGAACCAGCTGTAAATTTTAAGGAGCATTGGCTACCTGGCTCCCGGAATTTGTCCAACCCTACCATAGACTATAAGCTCCTCAAGGGCAGGGACTGATGTGAATGAATAGTATGTAAAGAGTTGCATAAATTGACAAAGTTATATAAATAAATTGGATTG